TGTATTTCAGTAGATCTGCTTGTTCTGCTCCCCACTCTGTCTCTGGTGAGTCCTCTCACCCCCCACCCTGCACCTTTGGCCTACACCCCAGTTCTTGTATGCATAAACAAATCTTTAAAAATAAATAAAATTATTAGAGTTCACTTATACTGTTACAGCCACAGAACCCTAACTAAATTGCCTCTTCTTCTGGACATTTACACAAGCAGCAGGGGATTCAATGGTGAACAAAACATGTTCTAGAGTTCTTTGAATGAGACCAAAATTTAGCCATTTATTTTTTAACATTTTATTTGGAGTCTCTACTATATGTGTATCTTGAGGGGATCTAGCAGTCAGGTCAACATAGCCTCTTTCCTTACAGACCTTACTATCTGTGAGGAAAAAAAGATATTACACAGACAAGTATCTAAATATGGTAGTGTTGGGCCTCCCCTGGTGGCACAGTGGTTGAGCGCTGGGCTGCGAAGCTGCCCACAGCTTCTGCAGTGCTGGTTCGATCCCCGCCACCGGCAAGGGTCCCACATGACACGCAGACACGTGCTGCTGCTCCCCTTACCAGTGTATTTTGTCAGTCTGCCTGTTCTGTTCCCCGCTCTGGCTCTAGTGAATTCTCTCACCCTCCCGCACTTCTGACTGTACCCAGTGCTTGTACAAATAAATAAATAAATCTTCAAAATAAATAAATAAATAAATAAATATGGTAGTGTTAAGAGAGGGAGAACTCAGGATGTAATGAGAGAATATGGCCAACCAATCTTATCTCAGGACCTGAAAAGTCCCTCCCCTTGACAGATTTGGATGGTCCAAGGACTAGTTAGTACACAGCTAACTATCTCATATAAGTCAACAAAATTAAAGGTAAGACAGCAAAGCCTGTGAAAACATGAGAAAAAGTATAACTAATGTAGGACACCCCTCCCTTCCATCCTAAAATTCCAACCCGTGGTGGAATAGTTTAACTCTATTCTGAGAATAACTAGTTGAGTCAGGCCATCTGACCACATGGATTGGGGTTGTGGGGACGGGGTGGGGAGGCTCCATTTTTGTAGCCCATGGACACACGTTTTATTTTGGCAGTTTTTTATTGTGGTAAATATATACAACATAAGTTGCCATTTTAATATTTTTAAGTATGCAATTCAGTAGCATAAAATACATTTGCAATGTTGTGCAACCATCACCACCATCCATTTCTAAAACATTTCATCATCAAAAACAGAATGCTGATATACCTGCTGAATAATAACTCCATTCCCTATTCTTCCAGCCCTTGGTAACTTCTAACCCACTTTTTATCCTATAAGTTTACTTCTATAAGTAGAACCATAAAATTGTCCTTTGACAGCTGGCTTATTTGCATAATGTTTTCCAAGCTTTCTATGTAGCAGCATATTTCACTACTTTTTAAGGCTAAATAATATTCCACTGTATTCATATACCACAAGAGTTTATCCATTAATCTACTGATGGATATTTGTGTTTTCTATTGTTTTGCTATTGTGAATAAAGCTGCTATAAACACTGGTTTAAAAATATCTGAATTCTTGGGGCCTCCCTGGTGGTGCAAGGGGTTAAACACTGAACTATGAAGCGATCTGCAGCCTCTGCAGCATGAGTTCGATCCCCAGCCGGCCAGGGAGCAACCCACATGGCTCAGCAGACCTCTCCTGACTCGCCCACTGCTCCCCTCAGCAGTATACTTCGGTCAATCTGCCTGTTCTGTTCCCCAGTCTATCTCTGGTGAATCCTCTCACTCCCCGCATCTCTGGCCTGCACCCCAGCTCTTGTATGCATAAATAAATAAATCTTTAAAAAATAAATAAAAATATCTGAATTCTTGCTTTTGGTTCTTTTGTGTTTATATCTAGGAGTGTAATTGCTGGATCATATGCTAAATGTATGTTTCACTTTTTGATGAACTGCCAAAGTGTTTTCCACAAGTCTTCAATGGATAAAATAAACAGGTTTCCTGATATTTAGCCCATGTCTAGGTCTCATAAGGCTCAGTGTACCCTAACCATAGAAGAGAGATTAAATAATTAACTTTCCTAGGAAAGTTTCTAAAACTCTGTTTTTTCTGCTAAAAAACAATGGGGAGGGCCTCCCCTGGTGGTGCAGGTGGTTAAGCACAGTGCTGTGAAGCTGTCCGCAGCCTCTGCAGCATTGGTTCGATCCCGGCTGGCGGGCGAGGGTCCCAAATGGTGCGGCAGACCTATCTCGCCCGCTGCTCTCCTCAGCAGTGTATTTCATTGGTCTGCCTGTTCTGTTCCCCGCTCTGGCTCTGGTGAATCCTATCATCCTCCAGCGAATCTGGCCTGTATCCCCATTCTTGTATAAATAAATAAATAAATCTTTAAAAAATAAAAAAGAAAACAATGGGGAGAGGGTGTTAGATTAAAGACACTTGATTTGTATGGTTACTATAAGAATTAAAGGAAAAAAGCATATTAAGTGGAGAATAACTTTTATAAGACACTTAATATGCTTTTTTCCTTTAATTTTTATAGTAACCATACAAATCAAGTGTCTTTAACACCCTCTCCCCATTGTATTTTAACGGATAAAACAGAGTTTAAGAAACTTTCCTAGGATAGTTCCTAAGACCTAGGAAACTTCCCAAGTTCACCAGACAATTGTATCTGTTTGACTTCAAGCCCTTTGTTCATTCCACTATACCACAGTTCCACTCATTATTAAGAACACTGAGGTAAAGGATCATGGGCAGAGAAATCATCCAACCAGTTCAACCAGAAGTGTGAACTGGCCTCCCAGGTGAAGTTCCAAATTTTGAAGGAAAGCATCTGGGAACTGGGATCAGCTTCTAGAAGGCTCTGCTTGGTAGAAATATAGAAAGATAGATATAGAGAGGGAGGAAGGGAGGGATTAAGGGAGGGAAGGAGGGAGGGAGGGAGAAGAAAAGTAGGCTATCTGGTCCATAATGGATCTGAAACCTCCAGGCAGTCATGCTCTGGGCTGGCTGGCCTTTCACACGAGGCTATCCCTGCTGAGGTTAAATTCCTCCTCACTGTGGCCTCAAGGAACCCAAGAAACACACTCATTGCCTCTCTGGTTATTTTATAAACAGTGCTTGGAAACCACGAGTCATTATCACTTTCTGGCCAGCCAGTCAGATTTTCCATGCCCTTGTGTGCAATGTCCTTAATCTTCCCAAAGCCAACAGCATCATTCTCCTAAACCAAGAGAATTATTTACTTTGGCCATAATCAGGGCAGAGTTTAAGTATCAGCCTGTCCTCTCACAGTGTCAAATAGTGTTTAGGGTGAGCTACAATCCAAATATACACCCTACTACCCATTCTTTTATTACCACATTCATCCACTCACCCCCTGGCCCTCCCAAGTTTTATCCAGGCAGCTATGCATACATACATTCATTCACCGTTCCATTCACCTATGCATCCATTCACCATTCATCTGACTAAGGTCAGATTCATTTACTGCTATGAGCATTTACCCATTATCCCCTTTGAATCAATATATCCCTTTATTCACCCATTAACTTAATAACCGATGCAGTAACTTATCCATTCATTCATACATAGATGCATCCATCCATTTATCACCTACTCAATTACCCATCATTTCTTGATCAGTCACCCAATTATATTCAATCATATAACCACCTATTCATTTGGTCTACAATCTAATATGAGTCAGACACTGTTGTTGTAGAAGTTGGAGGAACAAGGACAAAATGACACAGTTACTTATTCCATCATCCACCCACCAACCTCTCATTGATTAGCATTTATTAAGTTGTCCACCCTGTAGAATTTTACCCCATGTGAGCAGTGAATTGTTCAGTTGGTAGTAAACAATTGTTTTACTCCCTGGCATATCACAAGGAGGGTTGAAGAGAGAAATGGATATGCATGCATGCAGAGAATGCAACTAAAAGGATAGTTGAGAAGAACTTGGCTAAAGGACAAAAACTAGGCCAGAGGCAAGAGTCCATAACTCCAGTTATCAATAAAAGGGAAGAAAGTTCCCAACAGGGCTGTATCGGAATGGAACCTAAAGAGATTCATTCTGGTATCAAAGTTAGTCACAGAGATCTTAATAAGTGGTTCTGAAAATTTCTGTGAGTCAGAGAAAGCTTAAAAGGTATCTAGATAATTAAGACACTTACATTTATCTACTGGTCTGTCAATTCACTGACACATTCATATATTTAGCCATCCACAGATCTTCATTTTGATTGTTCAACAATTATAGCAGGGGCCCTTAACCAGAGTTTTCAGAACAGGTACAATCAAGTACACTAGATTCATCCTTGCCTTTCTAGTGTCTTCAATTGCCACTTACACACTGAATGTGCAGAATAAGTATTTGCCAAATAGATTTATTAGTGATCTCAATTATGACTAGATAAACCCAAACCAGAAAGGTGGCACTTTGATCAGATAATTTGGCCAGCTCTAGGGCTGATATGAGTAAGTTTACTTTTTATGTGATTGCTTAATGGTAATGTGCAGGATTCATCCTATCTGTACTTGAGAAATTAACATGCCCAGATGAGACCATGACTAGTTGAGGCATGTCTAAAAGATTTAGGCTTAGCTGTCTGACAATGTGACTCAATCTCTCTCACACTCCAACATACGACTGGAAAGGGCTAAGGCCAGATCCATGCAGTAGAAGCCAATCAGCCAGATCTTGGGATTCAGTAGTTCCAATGATTTTTGGTTAACACCACTTCATGAAGTCACCATAGATACCCTAATCAAACTGACTTAGTTTGGGATAACTAATTTATGTAAATAGTACTCTGACTTGTTCAGTTAAAGATGACCACTGTAGTTTGGTCAAAATAGTCAAGCCCTTGGAACAATTCAGACAGAAATCTTGTCTTCAATTTCTAAAAAAACAAAACAAGTCTTTTAAACTTAAACCTGGAGGCAATACAACATGTCACTATTAGCATAAAGGACTAGAGGGATTAGGCAGAGAGAGGGAGATATTTCAAGAGTCACTTACTAGACCTGTGGTCTTGAACCAGTTGTTCCCAAAGTCTCTATTCCTCATCTTCTCCATCTGCAAAATGTGAAAAATAGCATTTACTTCCTCTGGCTAAAGTCAAGTTGATGATCTACAGGAAAAGTCAAGGCCAATGCGTCAAAAAGAGGAGACACCCAACAGATAATAACTCTTGATTTCTTGATTCTCTGAGTGCTCCTTCTGTCTAGTTCACTTTCCTTGTGGCTCTTTAATTAAAAAAAAATATTTTAATGTCAGTTAGAAACTCTAACTATATAGAACTTCTGTATCGATTTGCCTTAGTTGAGCTTTTTCCTCACCAACCTTATTATCATAAAAGTCATACCCATTCCCATTCTACAGATTATCACACAGAGGCCCACCTTGAATACAGAGTTTTCCCATTTCATGGCAGTCAGCTCTTGAATTTATCCTCTGCAGATGCTGACTCTAATTCTCTATCAGCACAACCATACATAGTAATCACAGAAAAACAAAAAGAAAGGGAGAGGCAAAAAGGCCACCAGATCCCTGGAGACCCCTCCAGAGTGAGCTGGCTCAGGTGACGACAAGCAGGTGGCCAGCTGAGAAGACCCCAACTGAGGTCGTGTGCTTGTGGGTCTGGATTTCCTCCATGTATAGGCAGCCCTACTACGTCCTCCTGGGATCTTCTGTTTGGCCTTCAACATATACAATGATAGTCTAGCCTGAAAAACTGTCTTATTTGCCCAGATTCCTTCCAGGAGTCTGTTTTATTTCACTATTTTCCTGGGTGTGCTTCTATTTTCTTATTTATTTATTTGAACCACTAAATTATCTAATTAGTGACATATATCGTTGACACATGGGCCACTATGAATATTTACTGCACACTTGTTCACACATTTATCTAAATAGGTGGCATGCCAGAGCTATGTAATAAGGAATAATGATTCTTTAGAAGAGTTACAGGAAATTATAGAAGGGGGAAAAAGTTTTGCACAGTGGGCTGCAGCTTCCAACCACATCTATCAATTCTTCCTGAGATAGAGCAATTGCATAGTAATGACAAAAAATTTATAGTAATGAATAAATCAATACTCGGCTCTGCGGCAGTTTCAGATGTTACTTTTATAGGCCTCCTCCTGTCTATTATATATCCCTTAGCACTGGAGCCGGGAGAGTGCAGAGAATGCCAACAGCTACAAGGAGAAAGGCAACAGCTCTGGCTCCTGAGATCATGTGATCCATCACCATCCCCTCCCAGGGAGATCCATTTGTATATCCCTGAGCCCTAAATGGAGCTGCTTACTGTGATCTACTACATGGCCCACAGTGTTTGATTTAAGAATGGAGCTGTCACTTCGTGTGGAGCAAAGTGTAAATGCAAAAAATAAATGAACAATGGATAATTAATTAAATAGCAGCCAGTGGGATAGAATAGGAGGGGAAGGGTGTGGGTTAAAAGGCAAGAGAAAGAAATATAGAAAGAGGGTGTCAGTCCAAAGGGGTGTCTTCCAAGGCTTTTTTCATTCAGCAAATATTTGCTGAGTGCCTACTAGTTGCCAAGCATAGTCTTAGGCAGGGGTCAGCCAAGATTTCCTGTAAAGGGCTGCATAGTAAATAGTTTAGGCTTTGTGCACCAAATGGTCTCTGCTACCACTACGTAATTCCGTCTTTGGAGCGCAAAAACAGCCAACACAATACCCAAAGGACTGGGTGTTGCTATATTTCAATAAAATTTCATTTAAAAAACAGATGATGGGCTGGTTGTCCTTGGCCCTGGGGCACAGTGGGCCTATCCAGTGTATGCTCCTGTGCTTTTCAAGGATGGACTCTATACCAGTGGATCATGGGGTAATTTGGAAGGTACACCAGCCATAAATAACTTAGAAACACCCAAGGAGATTTCATTCCAAGTATAAGCTTTTTATAAGCGTCTGATGACACTAAGGAGAAAGTCTCTGTAGAGGTCTAGCCTTTACTATCTCTCTAATGTTTTGCTAATCTCTTTTTCAACAAAAGAGCAATCCCAAGGCTCAAAGCCTTGGAAAGCAACAGCTTCTAGAGAAAAATTTTTAGCATTGTTTGGTTTTTGCTGAGTTTCTATTTATTGCAAGTGGTACTTGCTTCTGGCTGCCATTTAGAAAGGCAGAAAAAGGGTTTCTTAACCTTGGTGCTATTGATATTTGGGCTGGCGAATTCCTTATTGGGGTGGGAATTGTCTTGTGCATTATGGAATGTTTAGCGACATCCCTGCTTTATACCCACTAGATGCCAGTAGCACACTCCCAAGTCATGACAATCAAAAATGTCATCAAACATAGGCAAATGTTCCCTGAGAGTCAAAATTGCCACTGGTTAAGAATCCTTGGCCCAGAGGATGAGTGCAGGTGCTGGGACCACACACACAGCTTATGTTCAAAACATGCATCTGCTACTTTCTTCTTTGGTGATAATGAGCAACTACTTCGTTCTCCGGCCTCATTTTACTCATCTGTGAAATGGGGGTGATGATGACAGGAGCTCCTACCTCATAGAGTGGCTATGAGCATCAACTCAATACATTTATGCAAAATAGTCAGAATAATAAATATTAGCCATAGCTACTTGTCATAGTAACACAACATTTCTGCTTTAAATATATTTGTTTAACTATGAACCAGAGACACAATATGGTGGGGGGGGGCGGGGAAAGGAGAGATTGGGGTCAAAATAAGGGGGGGTGCAATTGTATGGGGAATATAAAAATAAAAAAATAAAAAATAATAAAAAGACTTTTTTACAATTTAACATAAAAATTAATAAATATATTTGTTTAGGTAATTATCTTACTGAGTCAATTTAAAGAAGGTATTACTTAATGAACAATAGTTCAGCTAGTATAAAGATAAGCCAACATGTATGAAAAGGTTTTGCAAGTTGAAGTTCTGAAACTGATATATTTAAAGAAGCATGGTTTAATGTAAACTATTTCTAAGCTCTATCTCTAATAAGCTGAGCTCTAGTCCTCATTACATTTGTGACTTCGGACCACTTACTGAACTTCTTTGACCTCCAATTGTCTCTGAGATGTATTGTCAGGCAAAATCAAGATCATGTTCTCAGGGGTTACTCAACACAAAATTGGTACTCAATAAAAGTTACTTTTCTCCCTCCCTTTGTCTGTTGTTAACAATGCTCACTAGTTGCACCAATTAGCTACTATTGTGTAACAAATCACTCTATAATGTAATAGCATCAAACAACACTCACTCACTAGCTTGCAATTTCATGGGTTGGCAACAGAAGCTGAGCTCAGCAGGATGGTTCTTCTGCCGGCCTTAATTAGGGCCATTTATATGGTACTTGTCAGTAAGTGACTTAACAGGGGCTGGATGATCCCTGAGGATCTCATTCACATGTCTGACTCTTCTTGCTATCTGCAAGGCCTCTCACTCCAGATAGCTCTCATCCTCCAAAAGGCCAGCTTGGACTTTGAGATCGAGGCAGCCCTGTTCCAGAAAAGCAAGAGCAGAAGTTGCAAGGCCTTCTGAGGCCTTGACTCAGAACTCACCCCATGTTACTTCTGCCACATTTCATTAATCAAGACCAGCCACAGGTCAACTCAGATGAAAGGATAGAGGGAAAAACTATTTCTCGATGCGCTGAAAGCAAAGTCACATTGCAAAGGAGTGTGATTCACTGGGGACATTTCTTTAACAAATGGCCACTTAGTCTGCCTGGAACTATAGTTCACAACATCCTCCTCCCTTATTTTTCCATAAAGGCTCACATATCGGATGTCCTTCACATGAGTAACATGCACCCCTGGGGATGTCCAGATGTTCATGAGTCCCCCTCCCAATTACATGGAAAATACAAAATACCACAAAAATTCACAATCACCACAACTATTAATGGCACATCAGTTCAAGGTCACTCACTGCAGTTTGCATTATTCCAAGAGAGACTGGAATCTGTAGTATTTTCCACTCTGTTCTAAATCTGTCATTCTCTCAGAAACAAGAAAAGAATGGACACAGACAGTGAAATTATTATAAAGATTAGGTTGTTTTCCATTTTTAAAAAGGTCCATTTATCTCAAATGTTAATACTTCATTATTGGTTACATATGGCATGAGCACACCTTAAATCTGCTCAGAAAAGGGTTAATACATTTGAGTGGGATTACTAGTCCACAAAATCTATTAAAGCTAGGATTACCTGGGCCTCCCTGGTGGCGCAGTGGTTGAGAGCTGGGCTGCGAAGCTGTCCGCAGCCTCTGTAGCTCTGGTTTGATCCCCGGCCACAGGAGGAGGATCCCACATGGCGCGCAGACCTTTCCTGCCGCCCGCTGCTCCCCTCAGCAGTGTGTTTTGTTAGTCTGCCTATTCTGTTCCCCGCTCTGACTCTGGTGAATTCTCTCGCCCTCCCGCACTTCTGACTGTACCCAGTGCTTGTATAAATAAATAATAAATCTTTAAAAAAAAAAGTTAGGATTACCTTCCTACCCCTGCCCCCCTTTTTCTTTCAGTAGTCATAGTCTAAAAATTATATGTGAATATTGTCTTATATTTTCTTTCCCCTTGATAGCTAGTTAGATTTTAATGATTTTTCTCCAGCCCACATCAGGTATCCTCTTCCAAAGATATACCCTAGACATGCCTAGTATCAATAGTCACTCCAATGTCTATATAGAGGTATATTAGACATTCTAGCCACTATCAGATCCGTTCCTCTAATCTACATCCTCATCTGAGACTCAAATCTCAGCCCACACATTATTACCCATGACGCTCCAGTCTGGAGTCCATGATCCATTCCTACACTGATTCTCCCTCCTCAGTTCCCACAGATCCCCCCATCACTGCTATGGTAAACCTCATCCCTGCTTAACCTCATGTCTCTGTTAGTCTATGCCTAGGTTTAAGAAGAATTTGGCTGGAGGAAAATTCACAACCATTTCACAGCCATTCACTGGCTTCACTTTAGTTTTATAACCAGGTACCTTGAGTGGCCTGTCAGAACCCCCTAAAAAGCCAACCAGAAATGCCCAAAGTACCTCCTCCCACTTATCCAATGACTGATGCCACCTTCTTCTTACTCCCCTGACAGCCAACATTCATTCTCGGTAGATCATTTTGATTCTTATTATACTGAGAAACAAGCAATTGAGGAGCATTTCTTTTTCTTTTCTACCCTCATCTCTACATATACACTTGGGCTTCTGTCCTCTCCTATAATTACTTATTCATTTCCAGTGCTATCTAAGCCCATTCTTATTCATTCAAGGACTTCTCTCCTAAAGTACTTTTCCAACCCTTGTATCATCATTCTACTGAGCCATTCCCATAAGTCTTCAAATATGCCAAAATATCTTCCATCTGCAAAGAAACTTTCCCTTTTTGCCACTACTCTTTCAGTAACTCAACCCATTTTTGCCACCCTTTTAGCATACTTTAAAGCTTTCCTCCTTATTATTCCACTAAAGCAGTTCCTGCTAAATTCCCTGATGGTCTTCATGTCCTTTAATCCAATTCCCATGTCTTAGACCGCATTGTCCTTGAATTCTCAGCATCATTTACTATATGTGGTTAGGTTGTCGCTTCTCGAAACACTTTCTTATCTTAGCTTTTCGGTCACCACGTTTCCTGATGTTCCTCCATCATTACCGGCCAATCCAATTCTTTGGTCTTTTTTCAATCTTTAATGTGGGTTCACTCAAGAATTTTGACCTTAGTCTTCTTCTCTTCCATATCGAAAACTCATTTTCTAGGAGACCTCAGATCATCTCTTTCTTGATAACTTCCAAATTTATATTCTGATACATCTAGCTCTGAAGTCTCCCTGGAACTAGAGACTCATATATTAAACTGTGGACTTAATATCTTTACTTGGATGACAATTAAGCATCTCAAACATTACAGATGCAAAGTAAAGTAGAATTTGTGATTTCTCTCCTTAAACTCATTTCTTATTCTTTCAGTAAATGGTGTTACTTCTACTCAATTGCTCAACCAAAAAACAAGCTGTTGTTTTCTTTCTTTCCATTACACCAACATCCAATCTATCAACCTTATATATACAGCAGTCCCATTCACTCTACCTTTAAAATACATCAAAATTTGACTCCCCTGACCACTTGCATGGTTTAAGTTGAACCTGTGAGATATCCTAACTGGTCTCCCTACTTCCAATCTTGCTCCCACAGTCTAATTCTTCACATAGGAGTCGGAGTGAGCTTGACTAAGATACTTAAAAATTGGATCAAAGTCATTTCTCTTTCCAAAACATAATGATTTCATATCACATGTGGAACAGAAGACAGAGTCTTCACATTGACCATCATGCTCTCATCTCTGTCTGCCTCTCTGGACTTACCTCCCTTACTCTGCTCTCATGCTCTGCACTCTATTAGCATTAGTGCTAATAGACCTTCCAGATTCATTCCAGCATCATGACCCTTGTATTTGTGGTTCTCTCTGTCTGCAATTCTCTTAACCCAAACATTCCAATGACTCACTCACTCACTTAGTTCATTTCTTGGCACAAATGTTACCTCTTCAGAAAAGCATCTCTGACTACCTTCCCTAAAGCCAACCTGTCATTCATCATCCTCACTCTTTGTTTTATTTTTCAAGAGTTTTATTACCTGAGATGTCATTATACATAATTTTTTCCTTTCTTGCTGTTCATGTCTCCACTAGAATATAATTTCCATGAGATCAAAGACCTTATCCTTCTCACTTACTGTGAGACACATTTTAGACACTGAATAAACATTTTTTGAATAAATTGATATTAATAGAAATAATAATTGTGAAATGTTCTCAGCACTTTCATCTCTTTGCATTCATATTAGATATGATCATTTGCTTTAAATTAGGAAGGAAGAGAAGACATCAACTTGCGTTGTCATTTAAGTTTTGTATAAATTCTTTACCCACTAAGTAGATATCCTCTACATTTAGATGAAGTTTAAAGAAATGGAAGGGTAGAAGTATGAGTATGTAATTATGCAATAAATATTAATCACTAGCTTTCTCTTCTTTTCTTCCAATAAGGCCTATAAATTGTCTGTACTCTTATCAAACACATAGATGAATTTGTAAGAACTCATAGGTACCTTCTATTATATAAATACATACAATCTAGTATGAACAGATTTCATTTATTTGATAGGAACATTAAATTTGATAGGAGATTCAATTTAGGATGTAAGTCATCCCAGTGACTGATATCTATGCAAAGAAGATTTTAGGGTATTTATTTGGTTTAGATAACTCAGAGGGATTCCAGAACGCTATCTTGGTGTGTCCCAGCCCCTCCTCGGAAAATCACCACTGGATTTCACACAGGAGGATTATTTGTACGTGATGTAATATCTAAATTTTGTTGTTAATTGTTCAAATAGGGCTACTTTCTGACCCAGGCCTGCTTGGGTTAAAGGATCAAAGGAAAAGGGACTCCTTAGCAAAACAGAGACATCCCCAAAGGCAAACTCCCCCTGGCCCCTGCTTCTCACCTCTTGCCAGCATAGAACACTCAGTGATGGAACTGCACCCAGTGCGCCTTCTTGACTTCTTTGTTTGGGTTTCCTTGGTTCAGCCTCTTGTTGAATTAAGTCAGTCCTCCATGAAGACAAGTGTGTGGCAGTATGACACAGGACCATGGGATGAACCCCCACTCCTCACACTACTAATAGCTGTGGAAGTCATGGGTGCTCTCGATAAGCATCTCTTGTCTTCCAGAGAGAATATTATACTTCCCCACCCTATTCTAAGAGGGGCCATGTGACTTCGTTTGGCCAACAAACTGTGAGCTTGTATGATATGTGTCACTTTTGGTGGAAGCTTTAAAAGCCAGTGTACAATTTAACATGCTTGCTCCCTATGCTGAGGTGTTACAGAAGCACATGGTAAGAGGAAACCAGGGGTCTTATGTGACTCTGAAGAACAGGAAGATAGAGAAAGTAAAGAGATTGAGAGAGAGAGAGAACTAGCTTGAGAATTGGGGGGATGTTTATTTCCCCAGCATGATCTTGCTCATCCTGACTGCTATCACCCCCATCACCCCTGAGGGCTCAGATTCCCAACAGGGCTGGAGGCGTCTCCTCAGACTTTCACATTAACAATTCAGATACTGGAGACTTCGTGACAAAATAGGGGCTGTGGTGAGATGGTGGGGGTGGGGGTACAGGTGCTGAGATAGTCATTATGAGGAACCGCTGACTCATCTCTGGAACACTTCCAAAATTCTGCCAGACCTCCACCCTCCTCACAAACCATGTCTCCAGCAGAAAGTCTACCTTGTCCTCTGGCTCCCTGTAGTTCCAGCCAAGCAGGAGACCAGGACACCCATAATCAGATTGGCTTCTGAGCACAGAGAAGATGACTGGCAGAGGATAAAAGCCTGCCAGGCCACAAGTTTCCATTCAGAGAGGAAAGAGCTTCTGAAACTCCAACGCACTTTCAGTCCAGGCCCTGGTTGGGTGGCTTTCGGCAATTTATGTCACTTAGCTGGGCCTCTATTTCTCCACCTTTGGAATAAGAACCTGAATAGGATATGCCTCAAATAAGTGATGTGAGAAGTTGTGAGATAATAAATATCAGTAGTCCAGTCTGACTCTGCAACACAGCAGTTAAGCCAGGTGAAATGGGGCCATTTTTACAGAGCAAAGATTGCCAACTTCTAGCAGTTTCACAGGGTCTGTTGATATTTGATTTTATCCCCGGAAACATTCTGATATGCCATAGCTATCATTTGCTCCTCCTTGGGTTTCACAAACCAGAGCATGCCTAGATGCTGCCCCTTCCGCCACATCTCCTAAATATACTTGATAAACTAGGTTATCCATATGCAATGTGTCACCAAGTTTGCAAACAATGGCCATAGGCAGCTGACATTGGCCAATGCATCCCCCAAGGCCAAACCAGCACCTGCCTATAGCTTTGCTTCCCACTCTCTGCTCTTGGACATTAATTACATCCTCACTTTGAAATATGTTGGCCATACAGAAATAAAGAGCTGAATCTGAAAGATTTTCTCTAAGACTTCTGCATTTTTTTTTCTGGGATGTTTAAAAAGGGCATAATGTTTAAGATGCATATGGGATAATCATAAAAGAGAGAAGATTCAAGTTTTTCTGTACTATCTACTGAACAAACTAATAACATGGATTCCTCCATTATCATCTCCCCTACTCCCAGGCTCGAAGGCTGCAAAGCCTCAGCTCAGAGCTACATCTCACCATGTGCCATTGCTCTCACTGGTCCCTCTAACTGGAATGTCTTTCTTCTCCTCCTCTTCTCTTTCCCACATATCAAGACATGCTCTGTGAGACACTAAGATTGTATATTTCATGAGAGAGAAGGAGCCTCATCTGTTTTGTCCATTGCAATGTTCCTATAAAGGGACTTGTATTCAATAGATAATGGTTGAATTCATGATGAGATATATGGATAAGCAAAAAGACCAAGTCTAGAATCAAGGGCCTTGGAAAGGTAGGTCTGACCTCACGACCTCCTGGTGGGGAGTCCCTCTTCTACTCTCCTATGGCATCTCTTGATCTTGTATGGTGATCCATTACTCAGAGTCAAAAATGGTCTTTTTCACATTCGAGATTCCCTGGGTGAGGACTCCAGGCCTGGTTTGTAAGATGTTGTAGAAATGTTTTCCAGACTCTTCCTTTCTTTTCTCCTTGACTCTTTGTGAAGAGCCCAAGAAAGAGGTCAGCTCAGGGAACTATCTTGGGAAGAAAGGGAGGCATGCTTTTCACAGCACATGCAGAAGGCTATGAATTCTTCACTTCCAAGCAAAATGGCAAAAGAGAAATATATGTCTTCAAACAAGTGATTTATTCTGTATCAGAAACGCATTTACCTGGCCTACTTTGCTGAACAGAAAAAACCCTGGTTCACTTAGTAAAACACAATCTGAATATTTCCTTCCTTTATTTCCATACAGATTAGCTTCCTATGGCCTCAAGTATAAACACCACAGATTGGCCCACGGGTTCTATTGGGAGAAAGAGGCAACTTGGAAGGGGGATCATGACTATTTTAAATTTCTTCATGGTTCAGCAGGCAGCCGCTGAGAGTTCCAAAGGAACAAGCAATATAAGAACAGTTTATTGATTAGTTTACAAATAACTGTTGTATAAGAAAGGCTACTGAATGGCAGGCTGGTTTACCAATGGCTTTCTTCTGAAGATCCCTTTCATTCACAGTCTTGAGTGCTGGGTTCAACTCGGAAAGCAGAGAAGCAAAGCAAATGCATTCTCTGGATAAATAAGAGTTAGCAACAAGTTAATAAAACATAAATAAATGGCATCCTTTATTTGTGACTGATTTGGAAATAGGCCAGTGTCCTCCTGCTCTTCACCTCTTCATGAAAAAGAAAAATCGTTTGAATATTTTCTCCTTTTCTGGTCAAAATAATAAAGCTTGAGAGGCTGGATTCCATGGCACAGGTAACACATTTTGATCATGTCCTTCCAGACACCAGTTGTTTATCCAGTTTGTGGGCTTATTATCTGAAGGATACTGACCCAGAGTCATTTATTTATTTATGTATTTATTTATTTTATAAATAATGAAATAGTTATGTTTATTTATTTATTTATTTTTTAGATTTATTTATAGAAGCACTGGGTACAGTCAGAAGCGCGGAAGGGTGAGAGAATTCACCAGAGCCAGAGCGGGGAGCAGAACAGGCAGACTGACGAAACACACTGCTGAGGGGAGTCGCGCGCACAACAGGGGAGGTCTGTCATGCCATGTGGGACCCTCGCCCAGTGGCCAGGGGTTGAACTGGCACTGCAGAGGCTGCGAGCAGCTTCTCAGCCCAGCGCTCAACCATTGCGCCACCAGGGAGGCCCTGACTCAGAGTCATTTAAAGGGGTACTTTGGAGCTGGAAAGAAAGACATATAGAAATGACAACCTGCTGTGCCTTGCATTGTCTTTGTGAGACTTTTCAGCTGTTGGCTCCTAGGAGGATTACTGTAAGGCACACATAAGCCTCAGGCCAGAGTCAGTCTTGAGCAACACTTCAATTGTTGGCTATGAGGCTGCTGTTAGTGAAACTTCTGGTGAGATGTGGGGGGCTGTGAAAGAGACAGCTATGATGCAAGTCAGGCAGGTAAAATCTCCAGGTCCTGCCCAGGAGTTTGGGTCCCTGTCCGGAGCCAGCAGATTTCATCATGGGAGCATGGACTGTGTCCAGTGCTCAGGGCACCAACACCAGGCAATATCCAGCCCAGATCACAGGCCGTGCTCTTACCCTTTTATGCCCTCTCAACCTTCCGCTCATGTTCCTAAGAAATTCTCACCTTGACACTAGTTGATCATCAATATTTCTTGAACAGCTGCTAATTTCATCTTTAAACAGAGTCTTTAAACAGGACCATGGGTGTAAGGCCAGGCAGTCAACTCTCACTGGCTTGGATAATTTCACCTTTGGCAACTATGAACCAGAAACACACTATGGGGGGGGGGGGCGGGAGGAGGGATTGGGGTCAAAATAAGGGGGTTGCAATTGTATGGGGAATATAAAAATAAAATTAAAAAAATAATTTCACCTTTGGTCACACTTGTGTTTATTTTCCAGATTGTTCTCTTTTTCTGGACAGTGTTTTTATTTTCAGTCATGTTAGTGATAAATACATAAGAGAAGTCCTTTGTGTGAGTTTTTAAAACAGTAAACTGCTGTAAGCACCCTCATACAAATGCCAGGGGGACTATGAATTGGTAAAGCCCTTGCAGAAGGCGATCTGACAATATTTCTTAGCATAACATATGCTAAGCTTTCCACCCAGGAATTTCACTCCTAGGAATTTACCCTGAAGGTATAGCTACAATGATAAGAAAATATCCATTCACAATTTTATTTATGGTGGCATTATTTACAATTGCATACACTGGAAACAAATTAAATATCCATGTTTAGAAAATGGTTGAATTGATTGTGGTACATCTATACACAGTGGAGTACAATGTCACAGTGAAAAAGAATGAGGGTGAATTCTACTAACTGATAGTATTTTTTTTAATTATTATTGAGGTAACATTGGTTTATAGCACTATATATGATTCAGGGGAGCAAGTTCACTCCTCCTCAGATATGTTTCACCACACCACACTCACCACTGGAGCATCCATATCCCTCCCCACTTTTTATCTACACTTTCTTTTCCCCTCTAGTGGCCTCAACTATTCAGTCATATTTCTAAGGTTTTTGTTTAGCTTTGTCAGTTCCTTTGTTTGGTTTCTCTATATTCCAAATGTAAGTGAAATCATCTGGTTTTTATTTTCCTCCCTCTGACTTATTTCACTTAGAATCATCTCCTCCAGTTCCATTCATTTTGCCACAAATAGCAAGAATTCATCTTTTTTATGGTGGAATAGTATTCCATTTCTGAATATTTACATCTCCTTAACCCACTCATTTGTTGTTGTGCCCTTATATTGTTCCCATAACTTGACTATTGTCAACAGTGTTTCAATAAATATAGGAGTACATATATATAGGAGAGGGAGTGATTGCTAGGAATTATTGTTAAGTCAAAACTGTCAAAGTCACAAAGAATATCTATCGTATACTACCGTTTGTATAAAAGGAATGAAACCTGAGAAAAAATTATTTACGCAAAAAGATATATAGGAAGGATAAATCAGAAATGAACGATCATGGTTATTTTCCTTGGTGGAAAGCGACTGAGGAGATAGCAGAAAAGTTGCAGGAGAGAGATCAGTGAGGTGCACATTTGATTTATAATATAGATATATGTAATATATATGAAATACAATATAGGACTATAATATAATATAGACAGATAAGATATTCGACTATCTTAAGCTACAGATAGATACCTGGATATAAATGTGTATGGAGAGCTATATTTCTATTCATACACATCTATCTATCTATACACCTATGCTTATAAATTTATTTTGCATCTCTGTTCACTGAATGACTTAAAGACAATGGCATCCACCTAACAATGAGCTATTTGTCTTCTAGAATTTAGTTTTCAAATGTCATTACCCTCTAAGAGAATCTAGGGCTCCTTGGAGAAACAGCTGACTCCAGATGTGGGGATGGGAAAGCCTGGTATGAGGCTGGAAGAGCTCATTGAGAGAGAGTAAGGAAGCACCTAAAGAGAGATAGAAATGTATCAAAAAGACATAAAGGCCAGCTTCA